ATATATATATATATATATATATATATATATATATATATATATATATATATATATATATATATATATATATATATATATATATGCATATATGTATTATATGACTGACTTGGGCTTTTAAAATAATATGTGAAGCATTTATGAAACATCTTAAGCCTAGTCCTTAATGAGTTTTGAAGTAAAGCAAAACTTCCTTGATTTTTTGCATTAAGAACCATTGATTTTCAGGTAGGCTATGTCTTGTTCCCTTATCTTCATTATTCTTTCCAATTCGTGCACTGTTTGTATTCAGTATTGCCAATTATGTATCTGTTCTGTGTTTGGAAATGCATAACCCTTGCTCACTGTTTGGTGGATGGAATGATCTTCTACTACGGAAATAATATTTTTGTGTGAGATTTAATAAAGTTTTGTTTTAATTTCCCATTAGAAATAGGACACTTTTTTATACGGGAATTCAGCAACAAAAACAAAAATCCCAAAAGTGCTTCAATAAGGCAGAGTTAATCGTCCAAAAAGTTCTGTAAAACAAAGACAGCATAAAATCTAGCTTGAATTTTATCCTGAGTGCCCATCACGCGCTCCGTTACTATTTACAACAAAGATAAGATAGCATTAATGAAGTAAAAATTCAGCATTTTTAATCCACGACATTGGAGGTATCTCGTTACTTCTCACTCATTTTGATTGGTGAAATAATATATTAAATCGTAACAATCGAAATTTTATGACCTTCGGCAAGAACATTGTCTTGTCTTACATTAAATGTTTGAGTCTGAATCCTAAAAGATTTGCTTCATTCCTCTTAATCAAGAATAAAACTTCAAACCATATCGCTATCCGGAAGATCTTCTTTGGCATATTGTACGAACATATGAGCTATTTCTAAATAAAACCGTGGCACTTGTCCAAATGCATTAGTTCCACTTTCTGCTGTTACAAGTTTTTTCAATTCCTCCACACATAACCATTCTGGTGGCTTCAGACGAAAAAAAAGCAAAGAAAATCTCTTTTAAAATTGAAATAATACCAATGGAAGCATAACTTTTAAAATTACATCATAGTTGCATAAGCAGAACTTTTGGATTATATCACACTTGCATAACAATTTTAAGTTATGATGAATTCAGGTAAACACTAAGAAAAGGCAAAACCAACAATGATAGTGCATTTCCGTCGTTTCCTTAAAGTAACTGCTACCCAAAGTGGTACCCAAATAGGCATGCCAGCTTCGAATGGTCCAATATCACCACTTATCAAGCGTAATTCATCCAAACTAAACTGTGGATTTATCTGTAAAATGAAACTGATTATTACTGATAGCCATGTTAATTTTTGCTATGTATATACACAATTTTTTACTTGGTTAAATTTGATCCAACTTAGCAAAAATTCATTTTGCATCTGAATGTATTGAAGCAAGCGAGCCAAGTGCTTAGCTCCAGTTTCTTTGTACTATCCTAGTATTTAAATTACTGGGTATGATCAAGTTTTATTACTGTGGGACTTTAATTTTACTCCTATAACTTTAAAAAAGCTAGCTAGATTTTTATTACAAAAAGAAATCTTCAACAAGACAAAGATTAATTTTACTAAAAATTTTCCACAGGAAAAAATAAGGAAACATAAAATAAACCTGAATCCATTCATTACCGGCAAGAAATTCACATTGTTCCGGTGTCATGATCACCTCACTTACTATCACTTTCTAGTTCCAGTTGCTCTTTCTTTTTTTTTTTTGTCTAAAACATTTATGTGATAGTAACACGTTCAATGCGTGATATTATTTGAAATTACTTCTAGAAAAAAAAAAAAAAGAAAACAAACAAAATCAAAAACTGACCAAAAAAACAAAAGAGATTAAAAAATCAAAAAATCAATAAGATGATGTACAATAAACAAAACTTTCAATTTCATGCGTAACAAACTATTTGCATAGCAAATCTATGTTTAATTTGATATATGAAATGACTTAATGTTCAATCTGATAACATATAAGTAAAGTTTGTATATAAGTAAGTTTGTAAAATGCACGTACGTAAGTTTGTAAAATGCACGTACGTAAGTTTGTAAAATGCACGTAC